ATTAGTAATTTCTAATGAAAAAATCGATTCCCTTCCTGAACTGTTGACCAATTTGAGACATTATTCATCCAAGTATTCGTGATGGATAAGCGTTAATTCTACCGCCGAAACTCTCACATCGAGTGAAAATTGCCAATCTCTTAACCATAAAAATCAATCGTTTTGCACAGCTGGTTTTATGACACCGTTCAGCCGACGTGAGTGGCCGAATTGTAGCAATGCCGCCGTCTTTAATCAGTGTCTAAACACCTGTTAAATTTTACCCGTCAAATTATTGTCTGCACTCCCGCCAAAACCGGGTGATAGAATATGCAAACTAGACAGGTGCAGTCGAGAGTGTGTCGAGGGTGAATATTCATAAGTCTTATTAAAAATGCTGATGAAATTTGGATCAACACGTAGATACCCGATGGAAAAATTATAAATTATACACTTAGTTGGATTCAATGGGTAATTAATTTGATTTTGTGAGTACTGTACTGCAGTTTTGGAATGGTTCTAATGTAGGGAAAGTGGAAATATTGTTGGATTTCACGAATTTTGGCCTAATGTAATGAAATTGAGAATTCATGAAAATTTCAGGATAGGTTGCGTAGAAAACTGGCCCTGTAGCTACAGTATGAAATGTCAACATTTCACAAAACTATTCTCAATTTTTCCACCGAGAACGTCTTTGTATTCCGCAACTAAGATTTGATGTTGTTAAAGAAGTATTGATGTATCCTCAAAACGCTGTTATAATAGTTTTGAAATAAAGAACTATGAAAATGTTAGTATACAACTGGCCCTATATAGATATACTCATTAAGCCACCCTGAATTATTTTCTGAAGAAGTGGTTGATCTAAGCTTTTAGATGATGATCCATCAAACCATTTTCTTGGAGACTCAGAATGATTCCTCGTAAATAATTAACTTCCAAATATTGTAGGCATAATTTGACCCAAGCTCCAAACTTCATGAACACATCACATCTTGAAATTCCAAAAATCTTTAAGAATATCTTAAAATCTTGAATTTTGTTTCTCCAAAGATTGTATCCTCGTAAACAAAAGGTGTTCTAAAAATCGGAAGATATACCGATACTAAATTTTTCTTATTAGGTTCCACTCCCAAATCTGTTCCAGATTCAAGTCGCCCAGTCGGTCCAGAGAGACCGGCGGTTCGGCCCAATTATGCCAAAAGTAACCAGAGAGTGTTAAATGAGGCGATTTGACTTGCCGGTTTTTTTCTGCCACGCGCTTGCTAATGATGTCCGCGGAATGCTGTCTAAATTCTTCCTCTTCTCCCGCCCAGTTGCAGAGGAAACATATGGGAACTTCTGCATCCAAGAGCAAAACCGGTTGCACTCGACTGGAAACTGTTACGATTTAGTGCCGATTGTACTTGTGTGTACTGAAAGGACCTTGATTCGCACAATTGATTTACATACTGCAAATTCTCCTTTCGTTTCCTTTACAAATTTCCAGGTTGATATTTTACATGGCCAAACAACCTTGGAATGTAAAAAAGGCCCTCTAGAAGAAAAACGAAGTACTTTTGATATTGTAATGTAAAGGTATTTGATTAGGTATATAATCTTACTAAAAAACTTTTGCAAAACTTATGACAGCTAGTCTGACCCTACTACTGGACCGAATTACAGGCGGTTGGTACCAAATAAAAGACATTATCCTGTAGATGTGCAGAATCCCTTTATAAATTAAAATAGGCTCAAAAATAAGCACAAAAATTAATTTAAAATTTTAAAAATATTAAAATGGGCCTTATGGGTTGCCATGTTGGAAACAAAATAACAACAAAATTTTTACAGAAAATCCAAACAAATTCCAATTACATGTTTTATTTACAGTGTGAGGTGAAAATAGAGAAGTCTGTACATTACATATTTTTGGTCGAGTTTTCGACCCCAGGGCGAGCGCTAGTGTTTAACTAATTTAGATAGGGGAGTAGCCGGGCTTATTAAACCCCGGATTGGTGTAGGTTGGCGTAAGATTATATATAATATTATGTAGCTTTGTTACTGACATAGTCCAGCTGTTTTTATTTTTTGCCTGGACCATCTAAAGCCCAATGACCAAAGACAGCTGGGCCCCAGTTCGAACGTCAAACAGCTACTGACTTTTAACCTGTTTAAATGTCCACCTCCTGTGTACCAGGTGTAAACTGCAGTCGTTGGAATGTACAATTGCTTTTATAATAATTGTGCCCATGTATAAATGAATAAGGAAAGACACTGTTTAAAAAGTATTATAATTTTTTACAAATATTTTAATATACAAGTATTTTAATAGTACTTGTAAGTCATTGTTAATAAAGCACTGAATGTTTTACTGTTTGCTCTGTTAGGGTTAGTATATTTATGCATGTGGTTATGATGCTTGCACAATTGTCACAAGGGAATAAGGGATCTTATACAAATCACTTTCGAATTATTGCCAGATTAGACCCCTGCCAGATTAGAAAAATACTGCAAATCTGCCTACACACAAACTACATAATGTATCAGTATTCTGACAAAATGACAACCAGCATTTGTCGCCAATTGTGAGCAGTCCGTCACAACACCCACCAAACCGGTCCGTGCAAGATAAGACTTTGAGGTTATGTCCATCATCTGACGAGTTATGGCGCACATGTCGCGGTCGCGCCACGGGTAACTCGATCTCGTCTCCTTTCACACGTGCGCACTATATAAAAGTTTGTTTTATCTGGTAACTCAATAGGTTGTAAATAATGCACCATACCGCGCCGGGCGCGACTGGAATACTAAGTTTAAAGTTGGAACAGTGTTTGCACATTAGGAGATAAGCGGGATTGCGTGAGTGTTTCATGAGTAATGGCACGGAAATGAATGTTTTGCATTCAGCTTATCAATATAACTGTAGTTAGTCGTGTTATGTTTTCGTATTTTCCTCTAATGTACTAATTGGGTTCAAAGGAATGCAAATATTGTACAATCTATATTTTTGAATACATGGAATTCTGCCACGAATCGTCAGTCAAATTTACCTCCTCCCTAGTACCAATGCATCAATCTAGAAAACTGGACCGACGGCGACTCAGGGCTACCAAACTAAACAAATGAAAATTTTAAATTAAGAAGTGTATGATAGGCTATCCTAACGATCAGGTCAATCCATTTTTTCTCGCTACCAATGTTTAAGCCCAAAGGCAACGTCCTAGAAAACTCCCATTTTTCTCATCACCCAATGAAACTACTCCGACTGCTCCGACTCAGTGCTACCAACCTAAACAAATGCAACTATTGTAGTCTGCAGTGTATAATATATTCACGACCGCCGCGGTGTACCCCAGGGCTCCGCTCTGGAGCCTGTTTTGTTTTGTTCTCGGCCAACGCCTATCCTAACTCACTAACTCAGCGTTATGTCCGTGTAGGTGGGACACTCCTTCGTTCGCTGTGCTCGGATAAGATCTAGGCCTGAAGCCTTCCTATTTATAGCCTCAGTAAAATGGGTCCACCTACTCTGCTCGGGTCACATCTTCTGTTCAGGTTGTAAGGGTGGAAATTTGGGGGAGAGGTTAGAAATTTTGTCAATTTTTCCAATGAGTGGATGATAAGTCTAAATACTATAATCCCGCATATGTAACTCACTGGGGGATACAAATTCTAGACCACTTGTAGATGAGCTAGAGACTTGAAATTTTCGGTGTTTTGTAGGTCTAGTGCCCAAACCCCCGGGAAAATTCCAAAAAGTGACATTTTTAAATTTTAACCCCCCCGAAATTAAGGGTTTCCCCCCATGTTATTCTTATGGGAAATAACATAAAAAATGGCCGACTTCGTGTGCCCATCTGAACCACTTAGAAACGTGCTAGAGACTTCAAATTTGCGTAGTATTGTAGTAGCAGATCTTACATTACCGGTGAAATATGCAAAAGTCCCATTTTAAAATTTTAACCCACCCACAAATCCAAAATGGCGGACCTCTGAAAACGAAAAAACACTTTTTTTTTACCGGATGTAGCTCGAAAACGGTAAGAGCTAGAAAGGATTTGAAAGTATATCCAGGAACAGGAATTAAATTTTATACAAAACCCTCTTAGGCGTTTTCCAAAAATCGCACTCCTTCAGCTTCAAATAACGCCCTACTTTCAAAATTTGGTAAATTTTTATTACATTTTTACCGGTTTTCGCCATTTTTTTATACTTAAATAATTTTTCTTTTAAAAAATTATTATTGCTTTGTATTCTCCTTACTTTACTTTAAATTTTACTCATTACATGTTTCTTCGTAACTTTACTCCTTGACCCCCAAAACTTAATTTTAATCTCAAAATTTGAAGGTTTTTTGCCACTTTTACGAGCCCCATGTTATTCTTATGGAGAATAAGTTTGAAATTTAATGACTTTGGTATGGTCATATAAATCGTTTAGAAACGTTCTAGAGACTTGTAATTTGGTAGTATTGTAGTAAGGGATCATAAGCTAATGGTGAAATTTTCAAAAGTCCCATTTTCAAATTTTAACCCCCCCAAAAATCCAAAATGGCGGACCTCTAAAAACTACAAAACACGTTTTTTTCAAACAGCTATAGCTCGAGCACGGTAAGAGATAGAAAAGATTTTAAATCATTTTCATGGTCAGGAATTAAATTCTCTATAATATACTCTTCTGCGTTTTCCGAAAATCGCACTCCTTTCCCTTAAAAAAAAACGCCCTACTTCCAAAAATGTTTTTTTTAAATTTTCGGACATAAAGTTTTATTTTTTATGCTCCTAATTTTTTTATGATGAAAAAAAAATACTCTAATACACATTAAAAAACTTTCAACCTTTAAAAAGATTAAAAATGGCGGATTTTTGGTAAAGCAGTACACACAAGTCGCTAATGCAGTATAATGAGTTGGTTCTCGCTCTTATTTCTGCTACCAAATTTGACTACACATGTTCAAGTTTCACGATCACTTCTAATCCTATTTGGACTATTATTAATCCGATTTTTGTGATCTATACTTGTTATTCGCTTTAATTGTTGGTATGGATCACTCTTGTGTTGCTGTTGGGTCTTTCCATCAGGGAGATCTGAGATTCACTGAGAGCAACAATGCACAGTGCATGGCTAATTCAGCCTGTGCCCTCGCCTGGCAAGTGTTCTGCGGGGGGTTCAGTACTAATGCCATTGACGAAATACTCATGGCCGGCGACCGTTTGTACAATCAATCCCGCCGTGAGTATAACGTCATGCATAGGTATCTCTTCCCCGAGGACCTTGCCAGGAACTTCGTGGTTGCAAACCATCATGTAACCATAGAGGAAATTTCCAATGTTGGTGATGGATTGTATCCTCGTTCCTACGCCGAATTGGACGATGTGACCACTTCTTTAACAGCGATGTTGGAAACGGCCATGTCCGGCGACTCTGTTGATGGCGGCTTTGTGTTCACGGGTCAATTGGTAGCAGTAGCTTTTTGGCGTTACCAAGGGCGACTCTACCTCTTTGACTCACACGCGGTGAACGAGAGTCGTCGTCGAGACATTGATGAGGTCAATAATAAGGCTCGGCTGTTTGTGTGCGATGGCTTGGTGCAAGACGAAAAGGAGTACCACTACGCACTGCGCGAGGCCGCCACTTTCATGACTGGCCCGAGACTTCGTTCTTTCTTTGTGATCCTCTGCAACATGGGGGCTCCTGCAGCTCTCCTGTGGGATGCTTTCCGTGATTCTATCTGCGAGGACCACATAGAGCGTAATCCTCTCGATGTTGAACTGGCCTACAAGCTAAGTCTCATCGAGATTGATCGTAGTCTCCGTCGGCAGGGCTCTTGCGTCGCAGATCACGGCCTCCCCGATGTACACGATGACACGACGGAGTTGGGCAGAGAACTGCTCTTACACGGCGAAAATCAACAGAGAGCGTTTGTGGAGGAGTGGGTGCCAAAGCTCTCTGAAGACCAAAACCGTGTATTTGAGTACGTTACCTCCGTTCTCAATGCCCCAGCCAGCGGAACGTCGTCGAAAATCATTTTCCTTGACGGTCCGGGTGGCTACGGGAAGACCACTCTTATTCGTGTCATTCTCGCATACGTGAGAGGTTGTCGTCAGGTTGCACTGGCAGTCGCCAGCTCTGGGATCGCCGCGGGTAACATGCCTGGTGGGACTACAGCTCACAGCATGTTCCGGTTGCCGCTCGACTTCGGTGACGGCACCGGCTTTTGGAACATTACCAACGGCTCCCAGCGAGCAGAGCTTATCAGAGCCGCAAGGCTTATTGTCTTCGATGAGGCACCGATGGCACATCGGTTCGTTTTCGAGGTTCTCGACAGATCCCTGCGAGACCTCATGCGTTCCAGTGAGCTATTCGGTGGTAAAATCTTCCTCTGCTGTGGTGACTTCCGCCAGATCGCACCCGTCGTCGTGAACGCTCGAACGCCATCTGATATTGTTTGCGTTTCACTTCGGGCCTCCCATCTCTGGCAGCACTTCAAAATCTTTGCCCTGACCACAGCTCACCGAACTAGTAGTTCCACGGCCTATTCAGATTTCCTTCTCGGGGTAGGCAACGGTACTGTTAGTTCGACAACTTTCTTGGAGGGACGGAACGAACAAAGTCTAATTCCGTTGCTCGGAATTAGACAAGTGACATCTTTGACTGATTTGGTCGATTCCGTCTTTCCTGCGAACGTCCTACTCGACTCTGATCTGTGTTCGCGACGCGCAATCCTCTCGACTCTGATAGTGAACGTCAAGGAGATCAACGACCACATCTTGAACTCCCTTGACGGTCATCTGTACGAGCTGAGGAGCGCCGACACAGTGGACAGAGAAAACGACGATGGCCTGGATGTCGACGTACAACTCCTGAACACGGCTACTGGCAAGGGCGTACCAGACCATGTTCTGCGGCTGAAGATCGGCTCTGTTTGCCTTATTATGAGGAATCTCGACATCGCTGAAGGACTCGTCAACGGCACTAAAGTCATCGTAATCGGCATCACCAACCGGCTGATTACAGTGAGACTTCCCGGACAGACGCAACCTATCGGAATTCCCCGAATTACGTTTACGTTCGCGTTTGTCGAGGGTTCGCCGTTACGTGTTCGTCGACGTCAGTTCCCACTGATGTTGGCCTATTGCATGACCGGACACAAAAGCCAAGGTCAGACAATAGATTCAGTCGGTGTTGATTTACGGACCGATTGCTTCACGCACGGGCAACTGTACGTCTTGCTCAGTAGGGTCAGACATCCCGACCATATTGTCGTTCTCGTCCATCCCGAACGTGTCCGAGATGGAATCGCATACGCAAAGAACATCGTGTATGGCGATCTCCTTCTCTAAACCGGACTTGACACCAGCAGTAGGCTAGGGGATCTGCTTCATCAAAACTCCCCGTCGTGACTTGACAACACCGGCAGTTGTACATAGGGGGCCTGCCTTACCAAAAGTCCCCGTTATTGTACATATTTCCTTTTAGTTATTTTTTTTAGAAATAAGTCGTTTTTTTGTGTGTTTAGTATTCTAGTTTGACAATACGATAGCGGGCCTGACTTATCAAAAGTCCCCGTTGTTGTATATTTTTTTCTTTTTTTAGTAGTTAGGTTAGTTTTTGTATATATTTCCTTTAAGTAGTTAGTAAAGTTTACTAACTTTTCCATTTGTAAATATTGTTCCGACGTTTCCTGGCCTCCTCGTGGCGGAACTGGATATGCCATAAAGTTTATGGCTAACCGACAGGGAAACAAACACTACTTCATCTATTTTAATAAATATATACATCTATTTTAATAAATATATACATGAATATCTACTATAATCTATTTACTTCATATAATACTTTACTATTATCAACTTTATATGTATATAAATATATACATGAATATCTACTACAGTCTATTTACTTCATATAACACTTTACTATTATCAACTTATTAACTTATCAATCAACATCAATCTACTTATCTTATACAGAAGTTTACTAACTTGTACATTTTTAAATAATTGCAAATAGGGTTCCGACGTTTCCTGGCCTCCGATCTACTACAATCTATTTACTTCATATAATACTTAACTATTATCAACTTATGAACTTATCAATCTCCTCTTATATATTCATGAAATCGTTATTACTTTAATGTAGATTTTCACAATAACGAACCCTACTCTCCTTATATTTGTACTTCGCTCGACCAACAACTCAGTTGTTTAAATACTTAACTAACATACTCTCTTACCGCAACTTTAACAATGATTTTTTTGTGAGGTGTTCCTTAAGGTCGAGCTCGAAGTTAACTTATATAACTTAATATTGACGGTTTCACTTCTTGCTTTGTTACAACTTAACTCTAATCTACTAACGACGACTAACAGCTAGCTGGATTAGCTGTATACTAATGACGACTAACAGCTAGGGGGCCTGGGGGCGGAGCCCCCAGCGAGCCAAAGGCGAGTAATTTGTATACTTTCTTGTAGTCCAACAATAAAACACATTTCAGTACTGTTTTTTTTATATTTTATTGGAATCAGCATTACTGTATTTTAGTTTCTTGATCTACAGACTATATCCGTTCTTGTGGTACATTAATGTGTGACCATGCATGAGGGATTTCAACAAATGATCCGGGTATGATAAGTAGAAAACTAGGTAGATGTACAAGCGGGTAGACCCGTACTGCGCCAGGTCTAAATAATCCCTCTTTAGCAAACGCCCGTACTGCGCCAGCACTAGTCCAGGTAGGCGAGGGGGCGCCTTCTGGTTAACCTACCCATTGGAATTTGAAATGTAAACAAACCACACACCCTATTGGTATTGCGAATGTAAACAAACATCACAGCTTTCGTTATTTGACCTAGGTCAACACCCCTTGTCGCTAATTTAACAAATCATGCTCTTTACCGCATCCGAATATTTTTGCGTTTCTCAGTGCCATTGAGGAATCACAATTAGATACATGTTTAGCAATCAACGGTGCTTTGGAAAATGAAAAAAGTACAAGAAAGAAAGCCACGCTTCTTCGACCACAGTTTGTCAAAACAAAAATTAATCAATTAAGAGCCGGTGACTTGGACCTACTTTGTTTCTTGAAGTGTGTTGCTATCAATTTTGCACCCATTTAGGCCTAAACAAAAACATTACTGTTTTGATACACTACTGTGAAATTGCCTTTACACCATACTACACAGAAGCAGGTACTTTTCTTACGACTATTCTCCATTTTTAGGCGTTTCCTTGATAGCAAGTAATAATCTCGGTCGTTTCTGTGATCACAGAAAATTGTTACGGATGTTACGCACGCATTTGCTTCCCATTTTATCACCTTAGCTAGTGGGATGGTGCTCAGAATGTTTACTTAACTAATTTGCTTGGGAACCGGAGTTTTGCCAACGTGTGTCAGGTAGATGGGGGGGATGCCTTCGGCCACCTCTTGGTGCGGAGATTTGCCAACGGTGGTGGTGGGAGAAAGAGTGTGACCTCCGGAGGGAGGGAGAGCGATTGTCAGGGTTGTCTACGCTTGGCAGTTATGCGCTTGTCGCAGTGGGTTAGGTTAGGTTAGGTTAGGTTAGGTTAGGTTAGGTTAGGTTAGGTTAGGTTAGGTTAGGTTAGGTTAGGTTAGGTTAGGTTAGGTTAGGTTAGGTTAGGTTAGGTTAAAAATTCAATACATTTCCTTTCACAGTCAGAGGTGCATAACTCCATTACTTTGAATACAGTCAGCATCCTGCCTGGTGTGTCCACCCCTAGCGGAAGCCACTCTCACGGTCACGTGTAATCGCTCTCGCTCAACCCACAACCGTTGGCAAAACTCCGCAGTATGTGGAATTCATGGATGGGGACCCTTTCTACCTGATACCCGTAGGCAAAACTCCTACACTCAATTTGCTTTAGTTGAACTCTAAATTAATCGTTTTACCGTGGAAAACGTGTCATTATATCACAATTGAAATTTTGACAGGTTTTCTATTAATACGGTAGCAAAAAAAAACTGAACTACTAATTCATCAACTTAAATGTGTCTTCGAATCATTGTTGTATCTTTGTTTATCGCTTTTGCCATAGTTTTTCATACAACCGATTTATTTTCGTTACCATGGTTATTGAAAACTGCATTTATATTAATTCAATCAATGCACGCAGTAATTTCAACGAAACATACTTAATAAAAGTATGCCTATATAAGTAACTTCTTTGTATAAACAAGCCGATCTGTCATCTCCTAAGAAGATTGTTCAACCCGGAAGACATGGGTTCCGTCCTCTCAACGTTCAAGAGTAAGAGATTGTCACGTCACGTCAAATGTGTGGATATAAACGGCTAAGTTGTACTATTTGATTGAGTAAGTACACGTCTATTGAGTGTTAATATAAGAGCAATAGCCTACATATAAATAGAATGCAATTGTTCAATTAATGTTAATAGGACTAAATCTAAAGCAATATAAATCACTCGAAATGTATACAGTAATTTGTAGTTTTAAACACAAACTTAGCACACAACATCTACAGAAGGAAGTAAAACGTTAGGAAGAAATACATTATTTTGAGGCTTTGAAGTTGGACGACAAAGAAATCAATTTGGTAAATTTGATGCGTAATAATAACGTAATCTATTTGATTAGTAATATCAATAAGGTCGTAATACTATGTGTTGGGCATCACCCTACACTAGATCCAAACATCTACAGTATCTAGAAAGAAAACAAAACAAGGATAGATATATTAGACGATAAGTTATTCCTAGATATTGGATACTTAAGTCCCTCCATTATGATTATGTTGATTAAATTAAATCAAATATTTTGTTATCCAATTTGTAAACTCAAATCTCTCTAGATTTTGAAATTTGGATTACTTTACCACGTCGTATTGTCATCAGTTTTCATGTTTAATATTATCTATTTTTTTATTGAGAGAAAATTTCCGGTTAAACGTTTGCATTATAAAAATAATTGTTGTAGTTCTAAGTTATTGTTAAAGGATATCTCATTGAGACATAAGAGGTCGACTAATATGTGTGATATGTTTACTTCCGAATCTTTCATATTACCTTCAGTTGTAATATGTTACGAGTTGGGAAAATTATGCTTTATAAATGTAAACTGTGACTTCTAAAGGAAATATTGTTGAAAAAGATTACTAAATTTAAATGCTAAAATAAACGTCAGAAATTAAAATAAAAGACGATTTGTCTCAGATTTAACGCAGGAGTGGGATTGGACTAGAGACTGGAGGAGACAGTATACACGTACGGTATATTATGTTATTTTCTCTAAATTATCATTATCATTATGAATTTTAAGCCGCTCCTCGAGTCGAGTCACAGCTTGTCAGAGAATATAGTTTTGTGTGATACCACTACACACCAATGGAATGGACACAGCAATGTAATCCATACTCTCATATGGATGTATTAATTCACTTACATCCCTGCGAGAGGCAAATGCAATTATTTACATTTTATGTATTTTAGTAAAAAGAACTTCGTATGAGTTTAATAAATATAGTAGTAAAAAGTTAAGTAGCTTTTAAAATTTATATATACGATAGCAGAAGTTTGTTTAAATTGTATAACTTGTATAAAACAGAGCTCTCGCAATCCAAAATATTGCTTTGTTTACATTGGGCCTGCAATAGTTCAGGGGTTTACCACCAGATGGCATTGGGGTATATCTCTGGCGGCTAGTTTAAGAATTAGCTACCCTTACAAATTACCATCTAAAGATTGATGTGGTCAATAAGGATTCAATTAATATGCATTACCTTAAAACTGACAGAAACGAAGATATATATATTTATAGAAATATGAAATGAAACATTTTCTCAATTTGAGTAAACCCTAATACACTTTTATTATTATTTCATGTTTGTGTACGTATGTTGAGAGTTGCTAAGAATATTCACACCAAAACTGCAGCATCAATGGAAGTGTTGAAAACTTGACTAATGATGTAAATTTGAGAGCAACACATTTCTGAACTGAACCTTAGGTGAGTAACATTAACTTCAATCCTCAATTTTATTACAGATAATACTGATATAATTTTTGTGTTAAATGAATTAACATTCACACAACTTTCAAAAGTTAAATTTTACCTCCTTCCATAACCATTCATGTGTAGCCTAAAAATGCAATGTTGAATGTTATCACAGCCTGAACATTGGACTACGCCATAATAGTCTGTCATGTTTTATATGAATATTTACAGTATTTATATTAAGTTTACATTAGACCTGCATTTCAGCAGTTAAAATTGTAACAATTGTGTTTCGTATTTTAATAATGCTATTTTCAAACACCTTTCAGTAAGCATGTAAATAACACTTGAGTTGCTTTTCTATGGTTACTT